AGAATCACCGTCTGGCACATTTATTAATTAGCTGTACTGCAACGGACGTAAACCGTCTGTAAACCTGTCTTTTTGAAGTACAAAGTATGACGTTGTGGCGTAAATTAATCACCTCATATTCTAGCTGCGAAGGAGTTCGCTCATCTTCAGTCTCGTGCTTGAAACAAGGTCATTTTGCACGTGTAATGGAAGGCGGGCTGTGCTAAAGAAACTTGTTTTTCAAGAAGACGAAGACAGAAGTGTTTTGAGTAAGGGCATACTAAAGTGCCCGCCGACGCAGTGTCGCTCGACGTGGAATCAGACCACTTTTTGCTCCACGAGTCGTGCTAATGCATGGCAATTCTTCCTCAGCTAAACTCGGTTAATTTTCTTGTTCATAGCGGCATGTTGACTCTGTCGGCATGTAGTCAATACTAGTACAGGCCAATTTTAATGCACACTTTGGGTTTCGCCATCGCGCCAAGTTTCATTGCGGCACCCCCGGCGGATCAGCACCGTTTTGCTGCCTTAGTGCTGTGGGTAGGTTAAATAGTTCAAATGGTCAAGAGGGTAGCTCCTTCTCCGAAATACCTCTTCACAACCAACGGACATATTATATCGTGATATAGATTTAGCAAAGCTACGTAACCCACAAGATGGTTCTGGTTTTTCTTCGGTATAATCAGAGTGTAAATTAATCCGATTTTTCGATACGAAAATAAAAATTTTATGCAGCATAGTCAAAACAGAGTCTCACAGACTGCAGACACTGATTTTGTAAACTGGCTAGCGTCGTAAAGTAGCACTTCACCCACTATTCCATAGGCTGTACGTATTACTTCACCAATGCGTGGCGTCATCATCGTGCCATGCGACAGCTCATAGCCTACGTTGTCATGAAATCGTATCCTCCACCACATTAGACCTATCCGTCTTATCCCTTACCATAAGAGGTACCTGATAAGAAGGTGACTGACTATATTGCCGTTCTCTTTGAGAGATGTGGTAGCAACACCGCTGTGTGCAGCGACGCATGATATGTAAAGAGAACAAATGCCAGAGAGCCAAGCAGGTGAGACATTGCCTTATCAAATGCATAATCTATTGCAAATACATCCTTGCCAGAAGTTATATAGTTCTTTGCTACCGCAAGCTAGCGAGACGCAAAAAAACAGTTGTAATTGTACCATGATAGATGTCAAAAAGTCGGTGATGGGAGCTGTAAAAAAATCATTTGTGCCCCAGCCATGGCTCCTGCATATTCAAATCGGCTTTTCATGTCGACTATGCCACTACAGATTTGCCATGGACAATGATTTTAGCTCAACAGATGCCAATGAGCCAGATCGGTGAAAGTCCATGCAATGTTAGCATAATTTGTAATTTACTTGTGTAATAGACTGGTCAGAATAAGCCACCGCCTCCAATTTATTTCGTAAAAAAGTCTATAATTATCTTTTGCTTTTGAAACTCTGCCCATAAGCTCGCTTATCTATCAAGGAATCCAGAAATTAGATCTCGACGGAACCAAAAATACCCTATTACGAAATGGCAAATATTTATCGAGCTTATACATTCGAGCACCGCTCGCTTGCGTTTAATCTGATAATCGAAGTCACCCCGTGCTCTACAGGAATTTAGCTGATATATTCCCGAAGAAGTTTTGACCATAGGCACAATGTTCCCTGACCAGCTACGTCACCAGACAACTTAACATTGCTGTAGAAAGAGATTCAAGCTACCGGAACCCATACATTAATTTTAAGTTTTCGCTAGCGCGGAATGCTGGTTAGCTATCCGCATCTTATTGGAACCGGGTTTCGTACCCCTCATCACACTATGGTGCTTTTTCGGTCAATAGGGCCTTCTCCCACCCAACCATCAAACACCCAGTTGAATACGAGTTGGCAGGGCGGTCACACCTCAGGGGTATGATTGCTTATCCACTTTAGTGACATATCTCCTGCTTCCTTGATTCGATCCTATGGGTATCGAACCAGGTACCTCCAGGCCAAGCTACAAACAACTTGAGCCAGGGATCGGTAACGTTGCTGTAAAGCTGGACAGTCATTGCGGCATTCTAAATGCCCCCAGGCAAATCTGAGAGGGGATTGCAATTCTTATCAGATAGCTCGATTATGCCGTCAATCATGATAAGAGCATAAAATAAACTCCAATTGTCCAAGTAATTCTGCGGTGTATCCAGCATAAAATACTGCGCTCGCGCTGGACTAGCTGTTACTTTTGCTACTTATAAGCGTGCGCAAGTTGCCTTTACCCACTATTTATCATGACACACAAAATCGACAGTAAATGGAAAATTTACTCTAAACAGATCCGTCTTGACATTTGCAAAAACGAAAGCGCTTTCGACGTCACAACGTTCTCTTGGTAAGCACTAATTTGGTTACAACTTCCACTTCAGTCTCGTGGCGCACTCATAGATCCGGTTTGCTTTGCAAGTGGTGGACTCCTTGTTTTTACTTTGTGATAATTAGTCAACGACTCATAAACAAGATCTACAAATTCTTAAGGTTAGCGTTCCTACTCTTCGCACTGAGTGCTCACAAGGATGGACGTATTCATGACTGACGATGAGCTCACCTCTTTTCCCGTTGCTAACCGTGACCGTTCCATCGTATATTTATTGCATACATCCAGCTTTATGCTAGTTTCTACTAGATTGAGTGAAGATGAACAGACAACATTGTGAAAAATTTAGATTTTTTTATGCACAAAAGAAAAATTCTTCTACGCAGCGCTTACTACTCTGTACGTAAGCGTATCGCCTGGCAGTGCTGATTCAGTGGTTCTGGATCGGGAAATAATGGCTTACACCTTTATAAGAGAATGAACTCCGGGGACCAGGCTACACCTTTTCAATGCCTATCTAACAATACAGTCTTTAGACCTGGATACACGTTCGCTTTGCTCTGTTTTATCTGATAATCGCAGCTCACTGCCATATCTGTCTTTCAATTTTACACGTGGAAATTTGATTATATTCTGCACAGAAGCTATTGTACCATCGTGATTGCACTAAAGTTACCTCTGCTGCATGGCTGAGATGACTTCATGATTCGCCAACGCTCAACCAGAAGATATGTTTGTAAAAACAATTTTTCGCTTCCGGTCAACCAATGGCTTATGATGCTCAAGCCACGCCACACTCTCATGAGACCACATAACAAGTAAATGTGTTATGTTGTCAAAACATCTCAAATCTAGCAAAAAGACTCGGCACTGTCGACTTGTACGTGTCAAAATATGCGTGGAAACTGTAGTTTTTGGGCATTGTAGATGCTTCCTGTACTACCTATTGCTTTTGACAGTCACATGTCGAGCGTTAATGTATGAGGTAGCTGAATCCATCGTGACTTTTTGTGCCTTCACAAAGCCCGAGAGCAGGATCCAAACAATCAATAGTCCTGGTCAATGGGTCCCAAATATGTTACAAGGACCTCCGTACGTCCGGTTGATCACCTTGTGTCTTATAAAACTCAACGATTCTACTCCATAGACTCAACTGAGCGCCCGAATCTGCATACACATCTCCTTGTATAGACATGGTGAAACACATGATACGAATACTTTCACTTATATACCATTTGCGCTATTTATGATGCTGCTTTGGCTACTGAAGAATCCTGAATTTCCTAGCGTGGTTGAGGTTGATTACCTCTGGCGCACTCGAAGACTTCCATCTGATGAGTTTGTCCGGTCCTCGCGGCATGATATCTGTCCTCTGCAGTCCCACCGCTTCTTGGAATGAAGTACGTCAGATATCAGAAGCCTTCATGCAAATTACACCTGTTCGGATATCCTTCATGACGACTGTAAACTTTACTACATTTAAAGAGGATCTGCTGCCATCGCGGCGGCGGATTTTTATCGGACGCAGACCGCTCAATCCCGCCATCTTTGACAGATAGATCAGAATCTGGAGCGCCTCCTGCACACATTTTTGGTAAAGCGAGCGCCTGTGATGTTTGTCGTTTTGATGCATTCCTTGTCAGAATAATCTCCCTCGCCGAATATTACACGGTCGTATTGTTTTTTGCTTGCAACCTTGGGAATTGATGACCGCTTCCGACTGAAGCATTGTCGTCTAGCTTCGCTAATCTAGGCTTTGATAAAATTTTCCCTAGTTGTACGCTAACTCACAGTGAGTGCCAGTTATGATTCTCCCGACAACTGAATGATTCTATAAGTATGCTAGTAAAACAACTAGGCGAGCTATTACCGCTTTCAGTCTTCACCGCCAACTGTGTTACCTCCCCCAAATGACTAATATTTAAAGTGTCTTGACATGCAGTGGATGAATAACACCTCATGTTGCAATCCCACGGAGGATCTTTCACCGTCGTCGACATTACGACCATATCTAGCAAGTTTATCAATGTCACCTTGCAGCTCGCATTTTCGACGTTTCGGCTCTACGAGTCCGCGCAAGGGAGTAGGTTCTTACTGCATCAGTGCGAGGCTAGAAGCTCATCTTTCACGGGTTCTCCTTTTCCGAGCCCCCCCCCTCATATTGTCATCACCGTACCATTTTTTTTAATTTAATCCGAGAAACAATGTATGATACGTTTGGTGTAAAACAAATTGTGACCGCAAGTTTTGACAATAATTTGTTATCACTTTAAAAGACTAGACATCAGTAAGGAAACTCTTATTGTCCAATCGTTTGAATACAGAAATAACATAATTTGTAGGCGTCTTAGTAAGAACAAATAGAGTGGTCAGCTGCAATGATGATCGGCCTTTTCCAATCGTAGGTTGCCCAATTCTATGCATGAACGGCCTTCACAAGAGTTCAGATTTCGTGGATCGAAAATGTATGATTGATTCTAAATTCTTTTATTGTTAAGATACATGATACAATTCCAGTTTGTCAAAATAAAAAGTCTAGTTCATTATGGTAACCATGTCTGCAGCTTGTCAAGATGCTGACATCATTTTGAAATGGCGAATAAATGCGATCGTTTTTTGAAGCTTTCAGAAGATGCACTGTAGAATAATTACATTGTCATTACTGATTTCTCATCTAGAATCTCGATATTTGGGGTTGACATGTTCTCCAAATCTGAATTAAGACTCAAAGTACATAAGGAATCGTCGTCTTCTTGGGCCAACGGCCTGTATCCAAACTTTGGTGCGACACCAATTGTTATTGCAACTATTACCAAGAGTCCACCAGAAATCCAGCATAGCATAGACACCGATAAGGTCCAGATATTAAACATGTAAGGGTACAAATAACGTCCTCCCACAGCGGCCAAATGGCTGACTCCAATAGCGTACCCCATTTTGCTCCCGCGGTGGGTAAGCTCGTAATGTATCGGTGTGTACGCAAGAACACAGCTCCAGCCAGCAGAGAGTAAGGCCGTCACAATAAATAAAAAGAAGATGACGACAGCAGGCCACCAAGCCATATAACTCAGCACAATTGACAAAGTGGCTGCTAAGCTTGCAAAGACTACAAAGCAGCGGTGAGATCCATATGCGTCCAATACTGTTGCTGCTGTGACTGAGCCAACCACTTGGGCAATCTTCAGTGCGCTAGTTGTAGTCCAGCTTGTGAATATGTTATAGCCGTTCAAGCTGATAAGTGTTGGAAAGTAGACGCCCAGTGTGTAGGACGAAACGGTCATGGTTATCCACAAGATCCACAGAACCAGAGTTGGCGTCGGTTGCTGAGGCTGTGAAGACTTCATCATCGTCGCTGATAGGTTTTGAACAGATATTGAATGAAGCGCTGCCTTCTGTGCATCATTTCCGATCAACATTCGACTGCCAGATTGCTCAATGTCTTTTACAATGTTGAAAGCCTCTTTCGTACGACCTACACTTGCCAACCAACGAGGTGATTCTAGCACCATGAAGTACAACACAAATGCGTAAAGCACAAGTCCAGACGTCAATAAGTATGTTGTGCGCCATCCAAGCTGTGGCGCCACTGCATATGTTAAAACCACACCAAGTAACCCACCAAACCCTGTAAACGCATTAAGTAGTGCTACTATGCGACAACTCATAGAGCGGGGAGTCAACTCGTGGATCAAAATAAAAGTTGAAGCGAGTTGACCGCCATATCCAAAACCGATAATCACAAGACCAAGTATCAACATGTACTCAACATTCACGCAAGATGATATTGCAAGTCCAGCCAAAGAGAAGATCATCGCGATAATGAGAGCAGCTCGACGTCCAAATTTATCCGCGACGTGGCCGAAGATTGGACCTCCGGCTGTTGATCCGATTAAAATACCGACTCCGCAAATTTCATGAACTTGTGTGCCCATTTTAATCTCTTGTGTAACAAGCACTCGCGTGAAGATAAGCAAGACGAGCTCAGCAGCTTGAATCGCCCAGCTCACACCAATTAATAGTAGGAGGCGAATGTAAAACTTCGATAGATGAGGCCCAAACGAATTGATTTGTTCATCAATGAGATGCACAGGATTTTCAAGCGAAACAGTGAGCGCCTTTGGACGCGCGACGGTCGACTTAATGCCTTGGAAGCGCATGATAGTATTGTTAAGTTAAATGACAAGTGCACAAAATCTCTTAGTCAAAGCCTTTCTGATTTTCTTGGTGAGAAGAAAAAAAGAACAAGAATGTAAACATAATGTTAACTGTTTTAACGCACGAAAGACAATTTAGATAGAAAGGGCAGATATTGAAGGATGATCAGATATTCGACGTCCAATTGTGAAGAATATACAACCGATGGCTTTCAATTTGAAAGAGCTTAGTCTAACTTTGTCTTATCATTCATAGAGGCCGCAGCTTTACAAGAGCATTTTGCGGGATTAGAGTTATTGTATATTCATTGGCAATTCTGAGAACCATGAAGTATTTTGAGCGGGGAGTTTAGCAAATCTTTTATGAACAATCAGCTCCACAGATGGCAGAATACATGGAGCTCAAGTGACAACAACAGCCAGCTGTTTTAAGCCGATACAAACCCGGATGCGGAGAAGAGACTGTTACACTTCCCACTTTTTAATTTTTTTCAGGAATATCCATATCAGTATTAAAAGCTAATTAACTACATCAGCAATGGCATGTGAACCAGAAAGAGCATACAACTAATGGTTGTGATCTAATTTGTCCTTACATTCACGAGGTATAGTATGATGTGTAAGACCGATGCGACTCACCTCTCAGTACCATGATACTTGCCCGTTCAAAGTATTTGCTTCTGAAAGAAACTATGTGATTGGGTGCTTACAGGAGGTTCCATTTGTCAGTATTTTACCCAGAGGCGCAAAAGTAATGATTTCGTCTTCGTCTTATGTCTTGGAATCATTTAAATGTCAGCTTAACACTCTGAAACCTTATTCATAATTATACTATATCACAGCAATCTGTAGGAAAATATGTGTCATGCATCCGTGATACGATGTTCAAGTCAATTTGATAGCATTCACTTGTCATGCATATTGCAAAGAGTTTGTTTGGCAAATGCTTTGTCTCTAACTTCCGCAATGTCTTCGTGAATCAGGTTTTCGTCCTGCAGGTATCTTTTGATCATCCACACGTACGGAAAGCTTGCAAGAGCATTTCTTACCGCCGAGACGCTCTGTGACCAGAGCCAATGGGATCAAGATCCGTAGCAAGCATCAAGCTAAAGCCAATCCTCGCAACCAGAAACTCTTTCTGCACCAAGTTCAGGAGCTCTGTAACTCTGAGAGACGCTGTTCGATGAGCAAAGAGTGCATTCAAATCAATCTTGATAAACTCGAAGCGCTCTAAAATGGCGTGTGTACTACTCCATCGCGTGGGGCTGTCGAAGATCAGCCATTCAATGGATCTCTTTGGATTTTGTATGATCGTTGAAAATAGTTACGATCTCAGCGAAATCTCGCCATTTACTGTCGAATCTTGTCGAGGGCTTTCTTAGTTGATGTCGATACCGTCTTCTCGCTGCGCTTGTCAGTCTATTGGCAACATTTCAAAACTTGCTGGGTTGGTTGGAAATCTACCGTGTTATCCGCCGCCTGGTCATTAATAGTCGGCATCAGATTCCTCGACAAAATTAAGTTCTTGATGCTCCTGGACGTCATCAGATAGGGCTAGTGTTTTAGAGAGGGCACCGACAGGGCGGACCTTGGATCCCTGATGACTTCCCTGCCTTGTTTTTTATTTGTCGTCGGTGTTTGATCCTCCGCTTACAAACCGGCATAAGAGCACCAGTAAGCACAAGTTGAATGAAATGTGCGATGTCTGACATGTGCTCTTTGACAGTGCTCCCTGATCCGTCACGGCTAGCGCTGTGGTTTGCATTCAACTCGTGGGGGAGAAGCTTGCGTCAATATGAGCGCCGGTGTGCTTGATCACGCTGAGAAGGTCACATATTGCCAGAATCTCGTCGTGTTCGACATTTGAAGCCGAATGCATTCACCGGGCAGCCCCGCAGAGCAAAGACTGTCAAACTTGCTACTTCTAATCCACTCCGAGATTGTGCCGTGCTTTTGATAGCGACGATTTTTCATACGACTCCTTCTTTTTTGCCTTCTCGAGACTGGGAGGCGCATTAGAGCTCACCATTCGACAATGTTTTGATTTCGTGAGCCCCATACATCAGGAGTAGAAGCTGAGTTAGGTATTGCAATCAAGACATATGCTCGAACTTGTCATAGTTGCAACATTAGAATCGCTTGCGATGTATCAGCGTGCTGTAATTTCACGATCAGTAGACATATTGTCAGATCTCTGGCTTTCGCTGACTCCTCATCTCAGCTAGAAGATCATGAGTGTGCTGTGCTGCGTGGCGAAACCGTTCAACTATCTATCGGCGCTTTCCATTGCTGTAACAGTCTTACGGCAGAAGTGAACAGTCCACGTGAAGCCTTAGCTACAAGATTGCGATCGCGATTTACTTTCTCCAGCGAGATAGGTACCGGTGCGTCGTCGAAATCGGCCCCTTGATGCGTCTGCCGAATTGTATAATTAATCAGCTTTAATGACTCATAATAGTATTTATTAACTCTAAAAAATGTGCAATAATTATCTTGATCCAACAAATTATGCATTAACTAACTTTTCTTGTAAAAAAGTAGCTTCTATTTTTAGATTCATGGGCTGTTCATGGGCTCATTTAGCTACAGTGAAATATTTTGCGAATTACTTAGCGATTATAACAATGTTCAATTTTCGGATCGATTCTCCGTTAGATAGAATAGCGAGGAATATGCAGACGCAGTGGAGAGGGTAGATAAGCACACGTTCATCTATCATATACGTTTAACTTTACAGCTACCGCTAAAACCACCAAGACGCAGATTGTACTTACAGCTAACTGCGCGGGCTCACTCATAATCATTCTGTGTAATTTTTTATGTTATCAAAAAGCTACAAATCTTTGATGTAATATACGCAACCACAAAATTTTACGACTTAAGCGCCACAACAATGATACGCCGGATGCCTCATGCCACTGGCTTAGTGCACACTCTTCCTACAGCTGCTCGCTTTTCCTCACGAAGATCCACCCCCACTGCAAGATCCACCTCGACAACACACTTTGGATTCCAGCAGGTGCCTGTGGAGGACAAGGAGCGTATGGTGGCGTCTGTATTCCACAGTGTATCTGAGCAGTAAGAGAAACTTCATACTCAATTTTTTTTCTATCGTATGATCGCTTTTTGATTTAGATACGACATCATGAACGACTTTATGAGTGGTGGTATGCACCGCCTTTGGAAAGACGCATTTGTAGATGCGCTTCACCCTATGGGCCCCATAAAGTGTCTGGATGTGGCAGGCGGCACTGGTGATATTGCATTTCGTATCGCTGATCGAATTCTTCAATCGCCCCAAGGCACTAAAGGTTCTGAGATCACAGTGTGCGACATAAATTCTTCTATGCTCCAAGTAGGCAAGGAACGCGCGGCAAAACTGTTGCCCAACGTGGACCAATCGCTTTTTCGGTGGATTGAGGGCAACGCTGAGAACTTGGATTTCGAAGACCACACATTTGACGTGTATACCATTGTATTTGGAATCCGAAATGTCACTCATGTGGACCGTGCCATCCAAGAGGCCTATCGTGTGCTTAAACCCGGAGGCCGTTTCATGTGTATGGAATTCAGCCAAGTTCCCAATTCGATCATTCGTCAAATTTACGATGCGGTAGGATGTTTATCATGATTTGGATTCTGAAGTAATCAGGCATCTAATTGATGTATTGTAGTATTCATTTAATGTGATACCGCTATTAGGCGAAAAAGTCGCGAATGACCGTTTGTCGTACCAATACCTAGTCGAAAGTATACGTCAATTTCCGCCACAGGAAAAGTTTAAGGCCATGATTGAGGACGCGGGGTTCAAGCGTGTGACGTATACGAACTTCACGTTTGGTGTAACAGCAATGCATTCGGGTTTTAAGTTCTGACCTTGGTTCGATAATAATAGTCACAGTTGTGTTCCCCTCCCCTCCAGAAGTATCACTCTCTCTTCGAACATCAATGACTTTTTTGCTTATCTTGTACCGCATCAACAACAGGTCGCCGTAATTGCACATTTGTCGACTTCTCAGAGCCAAGTTCACTCACTCGCGGGTAATCTCCCGTGAGCACTGCTTCCAGGCTCACAAGGTGGATTGCTCACAAGTCTCGTGTTATTTGGATTGAGTGTAAGCACGATACTATAGTCTGCAACAGCTTCATCGAAGCGTTGAAGCTTACAAAGAGCGTATCCTCGATTGATGTACGCATCGATATTGCGTTGTTCAAGACTAAGTGCAGAACTGTAGTCATGATAAGCCTCTTCGAAACGACCAACACTGCGAAAACAGAAGCCGCGATTGTTGTAAAGTACAGCACTATGGGGGGCCAAGTCAAGTGCCTTGCTAAAATCTTGAAGAGCTTCTTCGTGTCGTCCAAGCTGTTCAAAGCACAACCCTCGACTGTTGTAGCTTGATATTGATCGAGGCTGTAGCGCGATAGCACGATTAAAGTCGGCGATGGCTCGGGTCGTGTCTTTCATTTGAACATATGCGCTTCCTCGGTTGTGCATTGCGCTGGCATTTTCGGGTTCAATTTGCAGCGCGGCTGTGTAATCCTGGACAGCATTCTCATAGCGCCCGAGCTTGTCATAACAGTATGCGCGATTGTACAGTGATTTAAAGTGTTTCGTGTCTAAGGTTATCGCAATCGAGTAATCTGCAATAGCTGACTCGAAATTTCCCTGCTTACGTTGACAAAAGCCACGATTGTGGTAAAAGTCTGCATTTGTTGGTAGAACCTCAATCGCTCGGGTAAAGTCGGCAAGCGCGCCAGCATAATCCCCACGGCGATCCAAAGAGATCCCTCGATTGTAAAGAGCAAAAACATTATGTGGATCCAAGTGCAGTGCCTGCGTGTAATCTCTTACAGCGGCATCAAAGCGTTGCATTTTATCATAAGCGAAGCCACGATTGAAGAGCGCTTTGAAATGGTGTGGATTGAGATGGATTGCATGTGAATACTCGTCTGCTGCAGCCTCAAAGTTGCCTTCTTGGCGGTACTGAAAGCCTCTAGCGTAATGTTTTTCTGCTTGTTCAAGTGCAGGGATGAAAGAGGACGCTTTGCTTTCAGCTCTGACTTTTTCTTCATCACCCAGCAGTTCGTTCTGTTCCACTAAAGTTATCACAGATGCAGCTGGAGAAGTCGGCGATGTATTACTTACATCTGGCGTGGTGCCAAGCTCCGTGGTGCATTTAAACGGATCTTGTCCCTTTTTACTCAAACTACTCTCAACACTAGTTTCAGTCTCCGCTGATTTGAGAAACGAGCATCGCTTTTTCGATTGCTGAGAAAAGATAAATGTACTAGCGCTCTCGCTTTGTTGTTGTTGTTTCTGTCGCTGTAGTTGTTGTCTCGACAAAGTAACAGACCGACGCAGCTCCTGTTGATGTCTTTGCTGAAGTTTGTGCTTTCTGTCTTTCGAGATCGCAGAAGTGTAATCATCGATGGCTTGAACATAATCATCTATCAGGTTGTAACAGGATGCGCGCGCGTATGCAGCGTTGACGTGTTCTGGGTTAATCTGCAGTGCTCGCGTAAAGTCTTGTATTGCAAGCTCCACACTATCAAGCTTCAGATACGCCAGTCCACGCTTATAAAATGCAGTAACATTCATTGTGTCCAGAGAGACAACGTTGTTAAGGTCCCGGATGGTTTCTTCGTATTTTGCCTGTTTGAAGAGCGCTAGCGCACGAGTTAATAGCATATTTACATCTGTTGGATGTCGCACGAGCTGATTAGTAGAAGAGTCAATCACGTGCTGAACGTCCATTGATCGGTGATAATAATGCGATCGATATGAGTGGTATTGAGAGCCCGGTGCCTCAAAAACAACTTCAGGCCTGGTTGCCATTTTATAGGGTTCGATAAGTGCAAGGCGCCCTACCCTTGCTGAACACAGGAACGACAATAGAATACCGTTTCAGTTTCGCGTTCAGTGTGCAACCATACAAGCAGGATGGTCCACACTTATTATCATAAAGTCTCCTGTTATGTTCTTTCCGCATTTACCATTTGCGGTCAGAAGCTGTTTAATTAGAAGAACATTATTCGTCTTCGTCAGCGTCGTCTTCGTCGCTCGAGTACTGACCGTGCACCTCATAGTACGTTGTTTCCGGGGGATCAAGTAAATAGCCAAGATCCTGAGCGGATAAAATCGACCCATCTCCATCTTCATCACCACTATTTTCCTCATCAGCCAAAATAAGCGAGGCCACATCCTCGTCGCTGCCTTCATCCTCTTCGTCTTCATTTGTGCTGTCGACTTCGTCAGAGCTAACATCAGACATTAAATCCTCACTGTCGTCGGTGTCCCTGTCTCCCCCCATTTCATCATCATCATCGCTGGAATTTTCGTCGTCATACTCATCATCATCCAGAGTATCTGAGTCATCTTCTCCATCCTCTGCATCGGAATCATCTTCAGCAGGGCGTTTTCTGCCTACGTCATAAAGACGGCAGATGGAATCATCGTCTTCAAGATCACCAGCTTCCAGATAGCGTCCTTCTACGACAGAGAGCAATGTGCTCTTTGTATTCAGACTGAGGTCAAACACGGGATGGCCTAAATCAATGGTCGTGATGTCTTTATAATCACGCGCGTCCAATACCCGAAACCAAGACTTTAGCTTAGTTTTTCTGCGCTCCAAATAGTCTCCCTGACCACAGATTAGTCGATAAATTAGCTCCGGCACAAGAAATGTCGAATTAAAGAAATACTCACCCCAGCATAAGGATAGTAAGCAAAGAGCACGGTACCGGACGGATTGAACTTAATGCTGCACTTGTCCAATGCTGGTACCATACGCAACAAGCGATACGTACGAAGATCCCACACTGCTGAATTTACTATAACTTCATTTCCGCTAGGATGATAAAAGCCACAGCCAACGTTTGACAACTTGTCGAACTTGTATATGGCGCGAGTGGGAATACGAGCATCCCACAACATTCCATCTGTCAAAATTGTACCATCACAAGGTGAATAACAACAGTTTGTTTCCGCACCATAATCGTTGGAACGCTCTGCGTCTTTCAAGTCACACAAGACGTCCCCGGTAGCAGTGTCGAGAACAATAGCACCTTTAATCCGGGGGCCTACTTCATCGCCGTCCTCTTTTAAACGCGC